CGCTAACGCGTGTGCACGCCAAACAGTCGCGTGGCGCCATCTATTGCACACAAAATTCGCTACACTAGCTCAGTATTGTTGAAAAACGTAGCAAAAAGTCTAAATGTCAGGACTGGGTTACTTAATTGTCTATTGTTTGTGTAGGTACATCTCGCGTGTTCTCGCACCATGCGAGACTTGTGGCTTGCTTACATGAATTAAAACGAGACTACACGTTATATCAGACTTCGCCATCTGTTACGGCACCCGTCGAGAAAGACTTAGGAAGTCGGTCATGCAAATCCAGTCAAAACGATAGTTTTATTTGGATCACATGCAGGGGCGGATCCAGGATTTTTGAAAAGGGGTGTCCAGGAAAAATTAAAGGGCACTTTTTCCTGCTTACTTTTTTTTGGTGTTTAAAAAGCTGCCGTTTGGGGGACCTCCCCAAGATTTTTTAAAAAAATTGGTGCATTCTGAGAGCATCTGAGCAGTAATTTTGATGTCTAGAATGCAAAAATTTATCAGATCCGGTCCCCCGGACGCCTGCGGATCCCTCTAGCCTCTAACCTTTTGCCCATTTCTAAGTTTTTAGAACGAATTTACATATATATAAGTAAATCTTTATCAGAAAAACTAGCGCTAAACAATATTTTTTTATAGAGACAATACACAATGTGTGTGTGTGTGTGTGCGTGTGTGCGTGCGTGCGTGTGTGCGTGCGTGCGTGTGTATGCTTTTTTCCATTTTTTGTGGTAAAAGGGGGGGGGTCCAGACCCCCTCGACCCCCCTCTGGATCCGCCCCTGACATGATCACATCTTTACATTTAGTTCACTTCTCTCTTGGTCACGTAAACTAGAAATACAAACGTATAAACCGAAAATTACTAACAGGAAATCCGTTCTCAAATCACAAGAATCCATACAGTCCCAAACAGTAAAATGCCGGAAGGTGCAGCCACCTGGTGATAACTACGAGAACTGACTTTACAGTGGCCAGGCATGGAAATGCGCCTACAACTGCACAAACTGGGCCTAAAACTATGGAAATGTCTTTAAACAATACCACAGCTAACTCAGGACATGACTTCTCCACTCGACGGGGCCTAAACAGTGCCACTAACGAATGCTAAAGAAAACACTGAATAATTTGTTCTCAAGCTAGACACCAGAAGGGCACATCACCAAGTTTCTGACAGATTGGACGAAGAAGTCCTTATACAGTAATTAGCCGGGTGCCTAATCGGCCTAAACTCCTCAAACATCTTCACCACAATGTGTTCTATACATATACTTACCTCTAGTACAGGGACAAACTCTCTAAGTAGCAAATTCTACACTTTCACAAGTAGAAACTAAAAATGGTCCCGCGTGGTTTTAACAACAACAATGGCGGAAATAACTACATTACCTAACACCAGGTGGCGGGGCAGCCCAGACCTACCGGGTGTGCCCAAGTAAGGTTCTACTCCCGATACACCGGCTCCCTAATTGTCAACCGACAATGACAATTACCACCTACATGTATAACAACATCATAATAAACACAACTCCAACTTGTACTGTTTTCAACTCCGAAAACAGAACATAAAAACCCAAGTGTCCTAGAACTTGAAACAGGGTATAGTCCTTCTCCACAGTAGATAACTCTAGTCTCTGATCCTGGGCTCCTCCAACTAATGGAAGACGAACGGACTGTCCATACCGTCTAGCCGATTAGTCCGCCTCCAGGATTACACACAACTTGGTAATCGGGCGCTTATATGTGGCATTGCCAACTCGTACTCTAACAACGCGCACTAGTCCCTTGCTGCCCTCGACAACCTCGGTAACACGACCCAAAGGCCATCGGTTCCTTGGTATGCTACTGTCCGCTACTAACACAACGTCGCCAACACTCACATTACGTTCCTCTTGCCATTTCTGACGTTCCTGCAGCTGCTGCAAGTATGCTGTGCTCCATCGACGCCAGAACATGTTAGCCAGGTGTTGTACCTGACGCCACCTTCATTTTACGTAGTTGTCCTCATTAAGAAACAGACCTGGTGGTAGTGATTGGCCGGACGACAGCTTTAGCAAGTGGTTCGGAATTAAGGCGGGAGGATCCACTTCGTCAACGGAAACCCGCGTGATAGGTCTACCATTCAGGATCGACTCGACCTCGCAGAAGAGGGTGTGTAGCCCCTCGTCAGTTAGACGGATCACCTGCTCCTTCATAACGCCATAAAGGGCCTTACAAATAGAGCGGATCATACGCTCCCATGCGCCACCGTGATGTGAAGCAGTGGGACAGTTTAACTCCCACTCGATTGCCTGCTGTAGTAACGTTCAACCAATCTTGGGTGTGTTCCACCTTTCGATCTCCTCTTGCATTTCCTTGCAAGAGCCAACCAGGTTCGAACCGTTGTCCGATCTCAACTTCCGGACTGCTCTCCTAGCAGCAAAACGTCGTACTGCGTTAACACACGAATCCATTGTGAGGCTATCCGATACCTCAATGTGAACAGCACGGCTTGAAAAACAAGTGAAGATAACTCCATAGCACTTGTAGACACTTCTCCTTATCTTAACGCTAAAGGGTCCAAAGTCACCACAAGTCTGGTCACTGGCGAGTCCTCGGGTAGCAGTAGAGGGTGCTTCACTTCGACAGGAAGTTCGGCCCGGCTGAGTTATCCTCCAACACGCAGCAATCCGGCTTCGTCTCTGAACGGATCTAGACGCTGTATCGACCCAAGGCGCTTACCACTGTCTGGGAAGTGCTTGTCCTGTAGATACCTCTCTACCGCTAGTTCCAACTCCTGCTCCAACTCTTCTGGGGTAAGTATCGGTGACTCCTTCACAGGAATGGCGACCAGGTCTCCACCAGGAAGATGGCGGCTTCTGAAGCTTCTTTGTGCTCGGATTATCCATGCGACTGCTTTCTTCAGCTGCATCCATTTTGAGAATCTTGCAAACATTTCGTCTACATGTACAGTCTCATACCTTTCCTTAGCAGTGGCAGCCAAGCTGAGGTGTCTGTCCAAGAGCTCGTCCACTGCAGGACAGCTACCAACACCGGGGCCCTCATCGGGTGTGACTAGAGCAGCATGCGTCTTCCTGACCTCAGGATCTCCTACTGGCAGCTCCATTAGGAAGGGAACCCTGGGCCACTCCGTCTCCGGCTCCCATAGAAAGCCTGGTCCCTTCAACCACCGTTCTACTCTAGCCTTATCCCTAGGAAGTATCCCTCTGGATGCTATGTCTGCTGGGTTGTCTTGGGTGGGGACATACCGCCACTGATCTAGAGTGGATCCCTGGTGAATTGTGGCGACCCGATTGGCCACAAACGTGTGAAAACGACTTGTTCGGTTAGCTATGTAGCTTAGCACCGAGACGCTATCAGTCAAATACACAGTTCTATCGAAGTTGTACTCCATGTCCTCGGTTATCATGGCGACGAATTTCACAGCAACGCTGGCCGCTGTGAGTTCCATTCTTGGTGTGGTTACCTTCTTGAGTGGAGCAACTCTCGACTTTCCAAACAGCAACGAGCAGTGCACCTGACCCTCGGTGCTCTGCAGACGCACGAAGACTGCGATCCCGTATCCCTGGTCTGATGCGTCAGCGAATGCGTGAAGCTGGCAAAAATCGATTACTGCAAATGTCTCAGACCGCAGGCTCCTCGGTACCGAGATGTGCTCCAACTGCTGGATCTCGGTTAACCAGCGATACCACTGCTTCTTTTTTTCCTCGTCGATTTCTTCATCTTGGGGCAGCCCTTTTTGACTGGAGCAACACTCTGGCAGGTAAGAGGAACGGTCCGGCCAGCCCAAGTGGGTTGAAGACGCTTTTTATCACCAAGAGAATTCCCTGCCTAGTGGCGTCTTTCTCACATATGCATAACTTGAAGCCGAAGGTGTCTCCCACCGTGTCCCAGTAGATTCCCAAGGCACGTTCAGCCTGTTGAGTACTATGATCACTGCCGATGACCACAGGCTTTGGGCTAGCTCTTTCAGATGGTGGAATCGAATCTGCGACAGACTTACTGTTGGTGACCCATTTGTGTAGCCGGAAGCCTCCATGACTGCAAACAGATGTGATGTCCTTTCTCAGCTCCACTGCAGTCGTTTCCTCCTTCATGGATTTCAGCAGATCATCCACATAGAAGCTGTTAAAGATGGTGTCGATCACAGTCTTTGGAAAGTCGTCCTTACTATCTAGAGCACACTGCCGTAAGGCGGTAGCTGCTATGGCCGGGCTTGATACCGCTCCGAACGGATGCGTCTTCATCCTGTAGATGCAGGGCTCCCTGGAGAGCTCGTCGTCTGGGTACCAGAAGAACCGCAGACAGTCTCTATGCCACTCACTGACTCCTACTTGATTGAACATTCCTTCTATGTCTCCCATTATGCCAATTGGCTGTTGACGGAAACGCAACAACACTGCCACAATGGTGTTGGTCAGGATACCACTCGGTCCTGGGATCAGTGTGTCATTCAAGGATAGCCCCATCACCTTGGCGGAACAGTCGAAAACCAGGAGGATTTTCCCAGGCTTGCTTGGGTTGTATATACCGTGATGTGGGATATACCATGTTGTCCCCTCGCGTCCAGGGTCGTGAGGTTCAGCCTGAACCCTCTCGACATAACCCTTCTCAATGAGGTTACTCATGTAGCTCGAATAGTCTGTGAAAGTCCGGGTTTTTCACCAGCTTCCTGCGCAGTGATAACGTGCGATTCAAGGCTTGGCCGCGATTGTCAAGTAGCCTGACCTCTGCTGCGGAAAGGGAGATCCAAGTGGTAGTGCCCATCTTTACGTTCCATCGACTGCTTCGCTATCACCTTGAACTGTTTATCCTCCACTGAAGATTCTCTCTTGGAGTCGACACCACGTTCAGGGAAGTCCATGTCGATCGCGTTTCTGACGAGACGTTCCAATTTTCTGTTCTGCTCAAGTGCCTCCACAGCCATCATCTCCACCCTAGCGGTCGTGGCCGACTGTCCTTGTACACGGTCTTGGTCTCTTATCACTTTCCACAGGATCTAGCCTAATACAGTCTTAGCTGCATAAGGACTACCACGAGGTCCTGTCTGGATTAACTGAGGGGTGTAAGCGTCCGGCACGTTGTTCCCTATCGGCAGACCGATATCTGCATCTAACGTGGGTAACGTGATTCCTTGTAGATGGTCCCATCTCTCAATATCGTGCTGGGTTGGAATGTGTCGCTGTGTCACCGGAATCCTCTTCTTGGTATAAAGTGGCAGCAAGCGAACATGGTCACTGCCGTCCAAGTCACTAATCTCAAGATCACTAATCCGGCGAGTTGTCATGCAGTGTGGCGTTCCTATGGTGTCGAGGATAATTGTCCTTTTTTGTCCTGTTACGCCCAACTGCCTTGCGAGCTTGTCGGTGCAGAAACTGACATTACTGCCAGTGTCAAGAAAAGCATATGTCTCCACAGTGGTGTTGTTCTGAGTTCGGACCAAGACTGGTACAATGGCCATTGTACACTCTCCGGCGTCTCCGGCTCCCATAGAACACAGTGCCTCGTTGGCTGTGACGGTAGCCCAGGTGTTGCTAGTTTTACCTTGTGGCTGCGATGGTGGCCTTACTCGACGCTCGTCGTGTAATAAAGTGGAATGCTTGTCTCCGCACTTCTTACAGGCCTCTCGTCCTCTATATTCTCGTTTCCTGTGTCCCAGCTTCAAACAGCCGAAACAGAGTCTATTTGCCTTGACGAACTCTGATCTCCCGTTAGCTATAAATTTCTTGCACTGATTCATGGCATGGTTAGCATCCTTGCAGAATCCGCATGGAGCTTCAAAGGCAAATTTCTTTGCTCTCCCCCAGTTGGTCTCTGTCGACCCCTGAGTGGGGCGGTCAGAACCACCATTCTCGGCGCTGCTAGCCAGGCTACGCATGCCGCCCTTGGCCTTACTATAAAACTGTTTTCCACCGGTGCTTTGCGGCTGTCTTTCCGTTTTCTGCAGACAGAACGTCCCTCCCGTATAGAGGGTTCGTGGCTTTTTTTAGCTTCCCCACGGACGAAGTCTACCAAGTGCTTGAACTGAACAACGCGCTCGGAGCTTTTTGTTCTCTGAACGGTGGTCTTCCACCTATCGTGCAGATAGAAGGGGAGCTTCTTGAGAAGCTGCCGTATATGGTCAGCATACTCCAGCACTTGGCCGGCTTGAATACTACCCACCGCGTGTTGACACTCCATCAAAAACACTGCAAAGTCATCCAGGGCCTTAGCGTTGTCCGGCTTTATGACTGGCCAGTCTAACGCCCTCTTTATGTAGGCTGCTGCAACGACTTCCGTGTCGCCATATCTAGTCTTCAATTCGTCCATGGTGGCTTTATAACCTACCGTACTCTCTAGGTGTGAGTACCCTTTTACTATATTGTGAGCGTCCGCAGTGGTGTACTGTTCCAAGTAGCTAAGTCTCTCGTCTTCAGAGTCTGTGTACGCAACTATTCTCGTCTTGAACTGACGAAGGAAACGTGGATATTCCATCGGGTCTCCTCCGAACTTCTAAAGTTCTATCTGTGGTTTCCTAAGTTCCTTGGTGATGGAACCCAGGTCCTGTGCTGGGACGTATGGCTGAGCGTCTGGAGATAGTGTCTGGTGAGGCTGGACTACAACAGGTGCTGTCTGAGCCTGTATTCGAGTTATGGCGTGTTGACCACTGTTGGCCACGAAGTGAGCAGTCCTAGCTGCGGCCGTCTCCTTGAGGGTAGGCATAACATTAACGTTGTTGCTAAGGTGGTCAGGTTTAAAGTCACCACGCTCGTTCATTTCCATCTCCTCTATATCTCTCACCCTAGCGTCACTGACGTTTAACTCTGTCCTTATCCTGGGTTTCTCCTCCTTGAGCCTGAGCGCCAACTTGGCCTGCTCAAGCTCCGCCTGTTCCTGAAAGGCTGCTGCTCGGGCCTTGAGTTCTGCCCGTCGCTGATCTTCCTTCATCCTGGCCATGAATAGGTTACTGCCAGCCGATGAAGTCCTTGATGAATGCTTAGATCTAGACACGCGAGACCGTCTATCCTCTTCCGTGTGTAGAACCACTGTATCGTGTAGCCCAAACCACTGCTCAACTTTTTGCTTACAGGCCCTATAATATAGGTTTCTCTCCTTGTGGTGATGGTCGTCATCCAGCCGTCGCTCATCGAAAGTGAGCAACTTCTGGTATTCTTGGTGAGCGACCAGGAGCCTCTCATAAGCCTGGTGCCATGCCCCATACAGTTCGCGCATGTGTGGGATCTCGACTGCGGGTTCAGTCTGTCCTTGCATTAGCTCGCGTACTCCAGTGCACAGCCTTTCTAGTGCTGTGCTGCAGGTATTACGATTGGCCAACTTCACTTCCTTGAAATACTCTACCTTTTTTCTGTTAACACCTGCTTCCGTTTACCGTCGGGCTCTGGATTCCCGCCTACAGCACCGGGCAACTTTATCTCGGTGGTGGCTGTCCGACTTCCGTATCGTCAGTCCCCTGGGGATCTGGAACCTCAGCCAGGTTCGGCCCATTACCGTGATCGAGTTCTGACATCTTTCTGGTTCGAATGTCAATGTTTTACCTTTTTAACAAGAGTTCTTACGAGTTCTTACGTCTTGACTTGCTGAACGGTGAGAGATGTTCAACCTTAGAGTTTACTGTTACGGCACCCGTCGAGAAAGACTTAGGAAGCTGTCAAATCCAGTCAAAACGATAGTTTTATTTGGATCACATGATCACCTCCTCTTTACATTTAGTTCACTTCTCTCTTGGTCACATAAACTAGAAATACAAACGTATAAACCGAAAATTACTGACAGGAAATCAGTTCTCAAATCACAAGAAGCCATACAGTCCTAAACAGTAAAATGCTGGAAGGTGCAGCCACCTGGTGATAACTACGAGAACTGACTTTACAGTGGCCAGGCATGGAAATGCGCCTACACCTGCACAAACTGGGTCTAAAACTATGGAAATGTCCTTAAACAATACCTCAGCTAACTCAGGACATGACTTCTCCACTTGACGGGGCCTAAACAGTGCCACTAACGAATGCTAAAGAAAACACTGAATAATTTGTTCTCAAGCTAGACACCAGAAGGGCACATTGCCAAGTTTCTGACAGATTGGACGAAGAAGTCCTTATACAGTAATTAGCCGGGTGCCTAATCGGCCTAAACTTAAACATCTTCACCACAATGTGTTCTATACATATGCTTACCTCTAGTACAGGGAAAAACTCTCTACGTAGCAAATTCTACACTTTTACAAGTAGAAACTAAAAATGGTCCCGCGTGGTTTCAACAACAACAATGGCGGAAATAACTACATTACCTAACACCAGGTGGCGGGGCAGCCCAGACCAATCGGGTGTGCCCAAATAAGGTTTTATTCCCGATACACCATCTTATTTATTTGAAATAAAGCTGATGAACCTAAAATTACAACCGGTTATGGGCCCAGATCGCTTGCAGGATTGTTTCTACGCAGGTTGGTGTTAGTTTCAACGGCAGACGGCATAACTGGACATTGATATCGGCAATTTTGTATTGGGTAGTTGTAAATACAAAAAGAAAGAAAAAGTAAATAAAGGAAAATGGCGGCCAGAACGATTTCGAATGGAATCAGTGCTCTGAAGGGATCGAACTACGCGACATGGAAGGTGCAATGTCAAATGGCCTTGATGAAAGACAATTTGTGGGGCATTGTGTGTCGTGTTGAGGCAAAGCCTGATCCAGTGGCAGATACGGACCGTTGTACGAAGTTTGTGTGTAGGGCCACCAAAGTCTTGGCTATCATTGTGTTAGCGGTAGACCCATCACTGCTTTACTTGATAGGTGAGCCCACAGATCCCTCTGTAGTCTGGGAAAAATCGAGGGATCAGTTTCAGAAGAAGACGTGGGCAAACAAGCTGGTGCTGAGGAGAAGATTGTTCTCATTGCATCTTCAGGATGGAGAGCCAGTTACGGAACATATTAAATCTATGGAAATATTCAACGAGCTGGCCATCATTGGGGCCCTCATTGATACGGAGGAAGGATACGGTTGTGTATCTGCTGGCGAGTCTCCCAGAATTATTCAGCATGCTCGTGACAACACTCGAGGCAAGCCCTGAGGTCCCAAAGATGGATCTGGTGACTGAGCGACTACTAAATGAGGAGATGAAGCAGAAGGATCGACTACATCGGGATACTGTTTTCATGTCGAAAGGAAAAAAGCAGCAAAATACACAGAGGAAAGTGCGTAAGTGCTATGGGTGTCAACAGATAGCGCACTTAAAAAGAGACTGTCTTGTGTTAAAGAAGCAGAAGCCTAAGCACAAGGCCAATAATGTAAAAACCAGAGAATCATTGGATGAGCATGTAGATTTTGTGGCGTGCCATGCACTTACTAGCATGTCAAGAAGAGACGGTAAATGGCTCATTGACTCTGGGGCTACATGCCATATGTCTAACAACAGTGCTGCGTTCGACAACATGGTGCCTATGAGAGATGGACACAAAGTGATCTTAGGTGATGGACACTGTGTTAAGGCTGAGGGTAGTGGCACAGTCAGCCTGTCTGTGAAGCGGGACGATGATACACAGGCTATCAAGTTGTATGACGTACTGTACGTGCCTGGGCTGGCATTCAACCTAGTCAGCATGCCAAAGGCGATGAAGTCTGGTGTGTCAATGATATTTGACGGGAGTGATTGCAGGGTGACTACCAGCAATGGGAGGGTAATTGTTACAGCCAAACTGGAGGGAAATCTGTCTACCCTGCCAGTTGTAGAGGAGCAATGTGTAAACAAGGCGTCCACATCAACAGACAAGGGGCTGTGGCACCAGTGCTACGGTCACCTCAGTTCCCAAAGTTTGAATGACTTGGAGTCTAAGGACATGGTGAAGGGACTTGAGTGTATGAAATTCGGTGATATTGGTTTCTGCGAAGCTTGCACTCAAGAGAAAATTTATCGGGCTAAATTTCCAAAGGCGAGTGAGAGGCGGGCTACACGAGTACTTGGACTTGTTCATATTAATGTCTGTGGTAAACTGAGCACAAGGTCACTGAGTGGTGCTCAGTATTTCCTCACTTTTATTAATTATTTCTCTAGATACACATGTGTGTATTTCCTTAACAGGAAGGAGGATGTGTTCTCTTGTTTCCTTGAGTGGAAGGCTGCGGTTGAGAGCTCCACTGGTGAGAAGTTAATGGCCTTGAGAACTGATAACGGTAGAGAGTTTACTTCAAAGGTGTTTGAGGATCACCTAAGGAAACATATCATCAGGCACGAGCTGACCGTACCGAAGACTCCCGAGCAAAATGGTGTTGCAGAGCATATGAATAGGACTCTCGTCGAGAAGATCAGAACCATGTTGATTAATGCGAGCCTTGAGAAACGTTTTTGGGCAGAGGCGTTGTCAACTGCTGTATATCTGACCAACAGAAGTCCGACCAGAGCCATTGATGGAGTGACAACTTTTGAAGTTGTGCATGGAGAAAAGCCCGATGTCAGCAATTTGAGGGTCTTCGGCTGTGCTACGTATGCCCACATCCCTAAAGATGAGCGCCTGAAGCTGGATATCAAGGGTGTCAATTGATGGGCTATGGCGAGGAGGTAAAGGGGTATCGGCTGTATGGTCTCGCCAAGCAAAGGATTTTCTACAGCCATGATGTAATCTTCAACGAGAGTGATCTCATGTCTCATCCGAGCATCGAGGCTGAAGCGAATGTGACGCCCAACCAACCATCAGTGGACATCTCCTCTGATGGTGATGATGATGATGCACCTGGTGACGGTGGTCTGCGTGACCCAGCGAATGCTGCAAATCATGATGTGAGGCGGTCAGATAGAGTAAGAAGAGCTCCAGACCTTCTTAAAGAGTGGGTGTCAGTTGCTGCCTCCGAACCGGCTAACTTTAAGCAAGCGCTGAACAGTTCTGACAGCAGAAAGTGGTTGACAGCCATGGAGAAGGAGATGGGATCTCTTTCTCATAACGAAGTGTGGGAGCTGGTTCCACCTCCCCAGGATCGGAAAATCGTCGGCAGCAAGTGGGTGTACAAAGAAAAGCTGGGAGCCGATGGATCGACGCAAGACTGGTGGCGCAGGGCTACTCACAACAGCAAGGACTGGACTATGACGAAATCTTTAGTCCAGTCGTCCGGTCAGTCTGTAAAGACGGTGATAGCCCTGTCAGCAAAGAACAACCTCTTTCTTCATCAGATGGACGTTACGACAGCTTTCTTAAATGGCACCTTGAAAGAAGATGTGTATATGAAGCAGCCAGAGGGGTTCGTTGAGAAGGGCAAGGAGGATCTCGTCTGCAAGCTCAAGAAGAGCATATACGATTTAAAGCAGTCGCCGCGATGCTGGAATGCAGCCTTTCATGAGCATCTGCTTGAGATTGGCTTTAAGCAGTCAACAAATGATTCGTGTATCTACACTTCAGAAGGAGAGCTGGTTATATTGGCTGTGTACATCGACGACATCCTGGTTACAGTTAAAAGCCAGCATCGGTTGAAGGAAGTGAAGAAGGCC